GCGGCACTAAGTGCTGATGTACACTTTTAGCCCAGAAGGTACATTCTCGAACTTCACTTTGGGAGGTATATGATAACATAAAACCTAAGGCATTGCATGCTAATAATTGATTACTATACAAATTTCATTTGGTTTATTTAATTTAGGCAAACACGTTGTGGCTGTCTAGTTAAGAAAAGGGATACGCGTGTGGAGAACTTTCTAAAGGAATGTGGTTCATATTCACGTTACACAACGGAAAACTAAGAAGTCTCTCTTGCAGCCAGCCGGGTATCTCACCCAGATTGAACTACCAGTGTTCAGTGACATTACCGCTAATCTACTGGTTGGCGATTGCTAGAGAAAGTTTGTTAAATAGTAAGATTCGGTCAGACTATATTAATATTATAAAACCACAAGATCTATGATTTCGTAGAGGAATTTTTGAGAGAAACTGTCGTATTCATGACCTAGTTGACGTTATGCATGAGGAAAACCACGAAAACCAACCACGCAGCCGACCCTTCCGACTGGAATCGAACCCAAACCAGGCCAAACTACTAGTATTCAGCGGTCTTAACCATTCCGACGCTGGAAGGAAGTTAAATATTCTCTTTCTTAATTCAATTTTAACAGAGTTGTAATGGCTATCTTTTTTTTAAATCTGTCTTTAAGGTAGTTTCTTTAGACAAATTTCCTATTTTTTATTTATTTTATCATAAAAGATTCTAAATTTCATCATAGTAAAAAAAAAAAGGTGTGCTACTATATTTGGTTAAAAATACAAAAAGCAGACCAAAATAATTTACCTTTCACCATAAAAGTAGTACCAACTTGACAACTTCCGCACGGGGGGGGACATTCTATATAGATATCGTCTTACAAATAGCTATTGCTTTATCTAAGGGGTTCATACGATGTCGAAGTGTGAGGCTTTTCCATATGTATTTTGTTGCATGCATGAAAAATAGGTTGAATGACAGAAGCGAAAGAAATGAAAAAAGAGCCTATTACTTATCCTGCCAAAAGGCTCGAAGTACAGAAAATTGCCTACTTTGCAAATGTGTAAAAGTTTATTATTCAATGTGCCTGTAAACACTGAAAGACACTGCAGTTAATTGCTACGCCACCTTAACTGTAATCAAAAGACTATGCTCACAAATGAAGACTGGCATCTTATTTTATGTTTTGGAACAGTAAATCCCTTAACAACAGGCAAACGTTGCTGCAGATAGTTTCTGAAGAACGAACTGACGAACTCTGAGATAGGAACTATGTGTCACTGATATCTGGAGAGAGGACTTTGGAAAGGGTTTCAACTACTCTTTACAAAACCGCATATTTACACAAAGCGTAAAGATGGGAACGTTTTCATGCCTGAAAGCATGATATTCGAACAGGAAAGGCTTCTGGTAAGATTTCAGTCAGGAAAAAAAAAAAACTTTTTTATTTGAGACTAAAGCGTCACTTTAAGTTTGCGCATTACCAGTTATTTTTTTTTCGAATGAAAGATTAATTTCCAGAGTGATCACAAAATGACTACTTCAAAATGACTTCTGAAGACTGAAGAAGTAATTGTCTTTTTCATAAGGCTGAAACTTTGTATAGTTATCAAAATGTATCTTCCAAAGAATTCTCACTTTTCGAATCACTCATTCAATTTCTGTTTTTAAATGGAAGGAATATCTAGGGGATTCTTTATAGCAATACGTGAAAATCAAGCGAAACCAATAGATCAGTCTGGTCGAATTGAAAGGCTTGCCCGAAGCAGAATAGCGAAAAATTGCTTACTGTCTGTATTTACAGACTGATGGCATTTATTCCAAAGTGCCGTTGTCTCTTGATTATGCTACAAAATTTTAAAAAAAGATATAAGCGGTGATGCTTAAGTTTTGTCCAGTACTTCTGATAGCGGTTAATCTTTGAATTATGGTAACTTCGTTATTTTTTTGGCGAAAATTTGGCGACCAACCATGCTACAGCAACCTGCTAGTTTATGTTTGGACACCATTTTGTTTACACGAAGTAAAGCCTCCTTTTTTTTTTTTTTTTTTCACTCAAAATTTTTTCCCAACAATCTGCTAGCCGAATTACGCTTATGCTAGAACTTTTATGGTACAAAAGTGCTTAATCATGACGAAGATTAGGTGCGAAATTGGGAGAAAGTGCAGAATCGCCCACTGCTTGCCGCGTTTTTAAGAATTGCACATACACGGTATCATCCATGTACACATCGACCTACAATATTTTCACTTAAAAAAACATCCCAGAATTGCACAAAAATGGAATTGCGCACACTCTTGACTTTATCCATGTATACTTACCTTTATCGCCTTACCAAAATGTCGCCAAACTACCTGTTACCATATTCCAAAGATTAGCCCTGATGGCATTTTCTGAAATCTCAAATTAGCAGTTTTAATGATCACAGGAGCCAATAGAAATAACGCCAAATACAGAGTTTGATAAAATTTCAAAAATTATTGTAAAGGGCAAACTTTATTAGATACTTGTATTTTTATCACTTGATAGAACTACTTAGGCATGTAATGACTAAAGAGTATCGCTCAGAGTCCAAAAGATCAGCGTAAATTTCTACTTGGTGCTGGCCTTATCAAGAAATTGCTTTAGCGTATTGAAGAACTCATAATTTCTAGTAACAAGAAAATGCTAGAGGTTATAAATTTGCACGAGACCCCGAACTGACTGAATATCTCAAGCAACTCTATGGTATTTGGGGTAACTTGGTAATTTTCTCTGTATGTTATAGTTCCAGTTTTACATGCTTTTTCGTGGAAACAAAATTTTGATACGAATCTCTGCCAAAAGAGTTTAGAATCATGTTTTAGTCGTGTTTTAGTAGAGCAGAACTGTGGTTCTAATGTTATGATATGATCATAAGTTTGCGTGAAAATACATTGTCACTAATATAGAATTAATAATTATGTATGACGTAGTTCAAGAAGATTGTCTTCTCAAAATAGATTGCCATTTTAGAGAATTTTTTTTACGAGGAGAAAATAGTTCGGGGTTATTAAATACTCCATGGAAAAACCAACAAAGCACCTCTTTTACTTAGCCAGTTTGTTTCGTCAATCGAAGTCGAATTTAAGAAACAACTACTATTACTCAAGGTGTTTAATATCCCAACCATTGCAAGCTTTCAGTAGTGAAAATTTCGAAAGGTTTAAATAATGAATTAGTTCATTTCAAAAGTTTATTTCGGAAAGTCATTATAAAATTGGCAGTAATAATCTTCCGTTACCCTGGCTTATTATAATGTAAGGAATTTTCTCTTTCTTCATACCATGCATTTGTAGTGTAATTAGAAACACGTCCGCCCAGCAATCGCGAGGTCCAGAGCTCGAATCCCAGCAAGGGCATGGCGAAATTTCATGTTTCTGGCTCCCAAATGAATATAATGATTCTTCAATATAAAGTAATTAAGTATCAAACTTCGTAAAGGATGCTAGTATACTTTTAATGGCAACTATAGTTTTAGGTGGGATAATATATCGTACATAATAGGTTATTTGATTTAGTTTAGAAAACAGAATTTATTAAACTGTGTTCTTTTACATCTGCCATGTTTCTCCATTTCAAAATCTTCCGGTTAAGAAACATTAGCAAGTTTAATGTATGTGGTCCATTTTATGTGGTGACATGTGATAAGAACACCTTTTGTTTGGTATGTGCACATTATTGTAGAGAAAAGAATTCGCTACAGAATACGATAAATTCAATTTAAGTGCAGTTTTTTTTAGATGCATCATTAAAATCATTTTAGTAATGGAATGTGAAGTTAATTTGATTTAATTATGAAATTAGAAAATTTCAATTTCTAACTTAGTATTTAAGTAATGCTACATTTCATAATTCTGAAACATTGCTTTAAACGTCATTTTTGGTAGCATTCTTAGTTTATAATACCTATAAAGTAACCGGAAGAATGCTCACAATTTTATTTAAAAAGCATTGTCCTTCTATAACATGCTTTTTACAAACGGTGAAAAAGAAAATCTCAAAATGTTACGATTTTTTTATTTCGTCCAGTTTCTATAAAACATAGTTAAAACAATTATTCTCACCACAGCGCTAAATTATGCTTGCGTAAAAATAAGGAGACTTCTAATGTCAAACATTCACAAAGGAGGATCATAATATACTGTACAGAGTGTAACAGAGACATGAACTAAACATTATGTTATAATGATACCCCGAAATTTTCCCTCATGCCACATGAATATCGATAAAACTATATATTTGTACAACATCAGCATTGTAATAGTAATGTAATTTCATCAATATTGTAATAATAAATAGTAGTTTTAATTAAAAGCTGATATTTATTTTAATTAGAACAGTCATTGTTGTATGCAATAGGAGTAAATTAAAGTTGAATAACGACAAACATTATAGAGCAAAGAAACATAATGGAGAAAACTTTGTACTAACTCTAATAACCACCAAAAACGTAAACATCCAGATGTAAGTTAAATTCATGATATCTAAAGCTCTCTCAGATTTTATGCTTATTAAAGTGATTAAAACAGCTTTCTTTAGATTTGTTTAGTATCAAATTATACTCATAATCCTCTAAAAGTTAATATTTTTCTCGATTAATCAGCAGTTTTCACTGGCCTAAAAGACATTAAATGAACTATTAAAACTTTAAATGATTCATGAATTACGTTTTGCAAGCACAAAAATGGAAAGAAAAATTTAGAAATCGTTAGAATTATTTTTAAATAGATCTGTGAGTAAAAATTGAATAATATAATGTTGTTAAATTTTGAAATGAAAAAGCATATGTGTGTGTGTGTGGAGGGTGTGGGGTGTGAAATTTCCCCCTTTTCGGCAGAACTGTCATACAGTTTTATAGAAATAAGGTCATTACAAATTACTGATATCATGCATTAATCACATGTCCTAGATACTGATTTTAAAAATTAAGTGAATCTAGGACGGAAGATTCGTAACCCTGATTAAGTTTTTATATCAAAAACAAAGCACATTCCTACCTTTAGTTCTCCTGTAGTTATAGTTGCAATTCACTTACAGAGAAAATTTGAATCGGATGAAATTCACTCTTCCGGCATCTCGATCTGAAACATGCAACCTCGTCGCAACCATCATCTTCCCTAGAAAACTTGGATCTGTTCCAGTGAGGAAAATCTCTTGTTAGGCTAGGAGGTCTTATCGATCCAACCAGATCGGGTTGCGTGACCTTGAATTGGGCTTGCCTCCATCTCCATTTCTTCAGAGCTAAATTCCTTCATTTAGAATGAACGTATCTTCATTCCATTTGGTCAGGTAATAACTGAATTTTAAATCTGGATAAGTTCTTTAAAAACAAGCTTACAGAACATGGCTGAATGATTGACTAGATTATGTACGTTAATAAAAGCCAATTTATAACAGATATCTCTGTGCATCTCGTTCTATTTGAAGATGTTTCTTTCAAATGAATGACGGCCTTTTGGACATCCGGTTTGCAGTTCAGAATATTTTTCTGAGCATGCTAAAAGGAATGCCTTCATTCTCAATGTCTCTGCTGTTTTACAGAACCGTATGGGTAAATTTTCTTATTTAAACATACATGAAATTGCTGTATAGCTAATTAAAATCTTACATACTCTTTCTTAAACAACAGGAAATCAGTGTAATATTTATTTCAACTAAAATGGAATTCCTATGTAATACGTCCTCCTTGTCAGGAATGCCCAGGATATGTGTTTCTCTCCGACGATTCTTTAGAATTCCGCAGGTAACCTTCAAATGACATGTCTTGTTTGTTTAAGCCCACGAGTTCACGACACATTATTTATTTAACACACCCATAAAGTTTGAACTTTTAAATTCTTCCCAACCTCTCAAAAACCCAGGTTAAATTGCGGATAATATCCTAGGTGCGTGATTCTCAAACTTACAAAGTGTTTCAGTTTTAAATAGAATTATAAAAATAAAAAAATTTAAAACTGGAAAAAAATAGCCAGCTGCTATGAAAGACAAAGTAATCGCTTTTATCTGATTTCGTGAGATCTTATTTTGTTTTACTTCATTGTTAGAGTTATACAAATAAAATATGTATCTCAGTCTTATGTTTCAGACTTATATTACACTGCTCATCAATTTCACTATCTGTGTCTTGAATCTCTTTGAACTGTTAATATAATAATAGCAAAACATACAGAAACAAATTTTCCAAATAACGCACTACACTTTTAGACAGTGCAATTAGTATTAATTACCTCCATGAAAGACAAACAAGTTAAAAGTTTAAAAGCTTCGTTAACTATCGATATTATTTTGCAAAATTTGTTCTAAAAAGGCTTTTTAATCAAAAGCTGTAAGTGTGAAACAGGGAATTTTGACAGATGTACAAACAATTACCAGTCATATGAATGAATATGGAATTTAAATAAACTAAAATTTATTGTGCTGTGGAATGCTGTATTTTACGAACAGCTGGTAAATTATTTCATTCTTCTAAATTGAATGCTTTTTTTCAGCTATTCATTCAAGTTTGATATTTCTGCAAAATAAACTTCATTATTAATTTCTTACGTGTGTTTTTTATGACTCACTCTCAGAACATCAATGTTTACCTTAAATCTAATCAGGGACAATGCATTCTGTTCATTTCAGAAATTTAAACACAACTTTTCCATGGCACTACTATGACTCTTATTTCAAACAAAATTTCATGAACATATGACCCAAATTATGCAAATATAAATGAATGAATTATGCAAATGAAAAATGAAAGGAATGGAAAGAGTTATTGAAAAGTTTATGAAATATCTAACTGAAAAACAGCTTTAACACAGGCGGTTTATTCATGAGGAAATAATGAACTTTCGAGCTCTAAGATTCGAAAATACAATACTTAAATACGAATTTCCCAGGTTAGAATGTAAAAATCAACTGTACAGATTTTAATGCAACACTCTTGTTTTATTCTAGCTTTTAACATTTTTCTGTTTTTATTAAAATACACATAGAAATCTATAGTACACCAAGAAATTTTCGAGGTTAAAATTTTTCTGTAACCGTAAGCTCTCGAGGAATAAGTTCGTTCTTTAAAAAAATGCTGATTCAATATAGTAGTCAGTTCATGTGTGCTAGGCATTCATTCGTGAATTAGAGGCCCTAATAACGAAGAAGGAAGGAGTTTTCTGTGAAAACGACATGAAATATTCGTTGTTATTAGTTTCGCTTCTTTACGGTGCTAGCGTCTTCCCTGCCGCTGTAACAGGTAATTTTGAATTTAAAGTCCCCAAATAGTACTTCCTTTTTCTTGCCTGTTTCATTAAGAATTCATCGAATGATAATGAAATCTCTAAATACTCTTTATATTGAGTCTTTTATTGCATTTGTTTCTAGTTAAATGATGTGTCTAATGAAACTGCAACTCCTATTTAGATTTTCAAGAAATACGTAAAAAAAAGTCTTATTAGAGGGAAACCTTAAATGTGATTTATATCGCTTTCATATTCTCCTCCGTGTAAAGAAATTACGTGAAAGTCTGTTATACTGTTTAAAATTTCTGTATACCTTACGCATCCAATTTGTAACACACAGCTCTAATTCTTTTGTTAAACTTGTAACGGACATTCTCTTTAGCCAATGTTCCTCTTAATTATTTCATTTCGATGATATGAAAAATGAAATAATTAAGAGGATTATGGAGGTAATTGTGATTTTATTCGAAAGTATTTTATAAACAAAACGCTTTGTTTCTTGGACAGGGAGCAACCAGATTTTAATTGAATTAAATGTTTCAACGAGTAATTAAGCTATTGCAATGAGACATTGTTTGGAATCTTATATGAGCACATGAATGTACGTACGCTTACAAATCAAATGGAGTTTTCTTTCATTTTCTTTTATATTTTCATACCAGTAAAATTATGCTATTTCTTTTCTATGGAAGAGCGTTGAAAGCATAAAAATGGATGTAACCATAAATATTTTATGTACTATTTTCGGTCATTTTTCTTTAAGTTCCATTTTAAATATATTTTGCATTTTAATGTGCTTTCTTGTACCTTAATATGAATTTTTGTATTTTAATAAACACTTTGAATCTGTATTATACCTTGACTAAATTAAGTTTTCCAGTAGTAGCTTAATAAACATTACTGTTGTGAATTTGTCTTACCGGCAGTGGCGTCGCTAGAGATGATGAAAGCAGTGCAGATACGCACTCAGATTTTAAACAGGGAATGATTTTTAGAATTTACATAAATAATGAGCAGTAAAATTTTAGAATGGCAAAACATTAAGAATTTAAAGAAAACACTAGGTAGAAATTAGGCACAGTAAAACTTTTAGAATTTTAGAGAGAAGGGCAGTAGAATTTAGGACCGGAAAAATTGTACCGGGCAGCAAAAAACCACCACCTGTGCTGTGCTCACTAGTGAAAAATGAAAGCTTTAGTTTCTATAAGATAATTGCTAAAAATTCTAAGCTCAGGATTGTTCTTATCTAAATACTTAAAGAAGCGTTGAATCTAAATCCATATCAAAGATTTAAAACGTCACGCGTTAAGTTTATACCCCAAATATTTTAGAATTTCTCATACACGACAGCGGTGTGGAAAAACTGTGCTTAGTGAAACTTGAGGGCATTTGATGAGAGAAAGACTAGTATAAATTTTTGTTTCTACTGGAAATAAAAAGCTTCTAATTAACCCCTGACACGGAGAGCAGTTAACCTTTTAGCGAGTCTTAAAGCTACGAACAGTGATACCAACAGTTGGACCATTTGCAAATTTAGTTTTTTAAAACTGCACATAAAATTTTAATTTCAACTTTGAAATCTTAACGTTGTAGAATTTCGGTAAAAGAATTTTCCATGAAAATTGAACTTAAGCCTGCTTTTAAGAGCGAGCATCTTTTGTATTCTTGCTTTAAGCTATTTACAGATAAAACATAAAGCGACAGAAAAAAAAATTAAAAGTAGCTGACTATTAAACTATTTTAGATTAGTGAAAGGAAATAATTCTTTGGTGTCCATATTGTGCGATGTTTTCCTCGCTAAAAATTCGTTGGTCAAAATTAAATATAATTAATATGTAACGTATATTTAACGAAGCAATCTTGGATCTTTTCCAAATTTCTTATTTTGAGATCATTATTGCCAAAGTACTTGAAGACTATCAGCCCAAGGGACCATTATGAAGGACTGTTTAAGGAAAACTGGCTTGCATTTACGCTACACCCAAGCAGACAGCCAGTTCGCCAGGGTTCGAACGCAGGTCAAACTAGGTATGTTTAGAAGTTCTGAAACCTGGAAGATCAAAAATGCGTTTTCTTTCATAAGTAGCCCTAATACTCTTTAGGAATAATAAAATAATTCAATAGTTTTCTTGCTTCTCAAACGGTTAATTACTCATATTAGGTTTGTTAAAGCATACTTTAATCCATATTTTCTAGTGAAATGGAATACTGACTTTCTAATTCGATTCATTTCAGAGTTTCCTCTAGTTACAGTCGATGGAAATCTGACTGAAGATGCTACAGAAGGCATTCGAAATCCACAGTCATCAGATTTGGACTCTGAATATACTAAGAATGGCAGCCTTACAAAGATATCAGAATCTTCTAACAGTTCAATATGGGAATCTGATAGTAATCCCATATTTAAAGCGATAAGAGATTTCTGGCTCCAAGTTAAGCCTTTGGGACCTGAAACTGGAAAGTTGTTAGATGAAAATACTGAGAATGCCATGAAAATGATAGAACAGAGTTTAATAGAGGCTACAACTATGTTTTTAAAAACGACAGAGGATTCCGATTTCGCAACTTTAACAACAGATTTTGACAGTCCTACAGTTCTAAAAGTCGAAAGCAATACGCCAACTCAGCCCATTCAAGAAAGAGTTGGTTTCAACATTTTAAGCTCGCAGAACAAGCATCAGCCTGTACTGATGGTAGCTAACTCCACTAGTGCATGCAGCAGCTGTTACGAAAGCCTACACTCATGTGTCCAAAAGTGCTTCACCGAAAATAATTGCAATGATATTCAACGCAATGGTAAGTTTTATTCACATTGTATCGAAAGTATGTCTGTGATCCGAGAATAGTTATTGCCGTGCAACACAAAGGTATTTAAACAGTAGCCATAATACTTAGATGTAAATTGTACTACTTCATTACTCTTTCACTCAGCAAATCTTTTACTGAATGTTCCATTATTAAGAGAATTGAATAATAAGTTTTAACTAGAACTTTCTTAATCCACTTTGGAATTGGCATTTTCTTTGTGGGTTTAAATCCAATATGGCTGTGGCAGTTATTTGTACGCTGTAGCTTAGCTTTAAGTTAATTCCTAATATCTGCAGAGACATTACTAATAAAACGCAGAGACTGAACATTTACTTCACTTATATTTGCAAAAAGGAAAATTCCCCCTTTAAAAAAATAAATAAAAAGGTTTTACTGTAAATCCCGAGAATTTTCTTTAAACTAAAGGAATTTGTTTTTTCCCAGAAATTTTCCTGATAATATCTAAAAGCTAACATTCTCATTTGATTGCACTTTTAATGTTTGGCATTCGAAAAGGCCGTTTCTTTGGGAAACTTCTTACATGCTGCCATACTGACTTTTAACCTTTTTCAATTTAGTTTTCCTAGTTTGCGTTTCGGCCAATTCTTACCTGAATTTGGCTTGAGTGGATTTACTCGCATTGCCTATACATAAAATTTCTTCGTCTATACTTTATAAATTATGAATGTAATTTCTCAACTTTATGGATAACACGAAATCTTTATTAAACTTTTGCATTGTCTTTTTAACCACTTATTCCATTATGTGACTCAGCTTTAGGCGCAACCAACGCTGTTTTCAAACTAACGGTGACTCTGAAGTTCACAAAATTACGTTGATTACCCCTATTTATGTTTTCAAAGTCTGTTTTTCACCATATAAAGTTAAAATCTTCTTCGGTTAAAAAAAGCAAATTAGCATCAGGTATTAGGATAAGTTAAATCTTAAGGTATGTTAATTCTATTTTTTAATCCTTTAGCATTTATCTCATTTAGCGTGGCCTTCTGTAGCCTATGAGAATTTAATGTAGTTGAGTAATATTCAATAACCATAGGCAATTTCTTTTTTCGGCTTTATTGACTTACTGAAAGTAAATTAGATTTCAAGGCCTCATTTTGGAGAATTTGATTTCCTTTTCAAATTGTAACCTTCCTAGACGATGCATACCAGTTTTCTGCAGAAAAATACTGTGTGCGCCAACTTGATACTTCCAGAAAATATTCTGTCGTCATCAGTTCATAAATTATAAATTTTAATGCTACTTTTTCACGAAGTAACACTGCATTAGAGTCACACTTCTCTAAATGAAAAAAAAAATCGAATGCTTTCAGATTTTATGAAGAAATCGGCGAAATTAGTGTTAGTATTAGTTTTATACATGTGTTATGGTTTCAGAATATGTGCGATTTTTAAAGGATACCAAGTTTGCAAGGTGTTTTGTGTGCAAAGAACCGTAATGATAGAAAGTGCGTGGAGTTTGAAAAATATTAGCGACTTTTTAACCTTGATACTGATAATGGAGCAGTCATCCCCTGGGTTGAATTAGCATGTCGGCCATAAAACTCCATCATTAGAACTGTTTTACGAACTTCAGCTGCATTATATGCTTCTTGAGTCAGTTCTTTAATGACAACACAATTCTGACATATCTTCTAAGTGGCGAATCACTCACCCGCGTAATTCATCAAGGTTCATGAACTGAAAAAAGGAACATGTCTTGTTAGTGCTATAAATTGCTTACTAAATAAAATTTGTGACTTATTTCTGCTATGTGCGGAGACCAGGATGCATGTATTTTTGTGAGTAATAAGACCAATTCTGGTGCTGAATGAATTTATCTTGCTAAAAGAGACGTAGGAATAAGGAACCTGATAAATATATATATATAATTCGGAGAATTGGGGGTGGGGTTATAATGCGGGAATATGATAGACTGGCTGCATGGGCGTTTCCGTGGTTTACCCCATGTGTAACGTGTATACGAACCAGTTTCCCTTGGAAAGTCCTCCACGAAGGCATCTCTTCCCTTAGGCAGATAGCCCTAGTGTGCTTTGACGTATTCACAATACACACCACCCATAACTCCTCCTAAAATATGACTCATCTGCTTTATTGGATTTAAGATTTCTTCCCCTCTTCTAAATTTTATACATTCTCCACCGCTAACTTTCGTGAGCCTCCAATATATGCTTATCTTTTATTTTGTACTGTACATGCATTATTTCTTTAGTTCATGTTAAATATTTTTCAGTTTTTAAATAGAATAAAGCTAATACTGGTGAATCTTTGGATTATGGTAACTTGGCGATTTTTGGCGAAAATTTGGTGACCAACCCTGCTACAGCAACCTGCTTGTTTTTTTAACGACTTTATCCATGTACACTGCTAAAGTTCTTGCTAGTAACCTTTATCGCCTTACCAAAATGTCGCCAAACTACCTTTTACTATATTCCAAAGATTAGCCCTAATACTTTATTTACGACTATATGTAGAGTATCTATAGGAGATTACTAATGTTTACAGTAAATACTATCCCCGACTCCTGTAGGCTCAGCTGAACACGTCGATGTTTTTTTCTGGCCGTACGTTGGAGCACTATTCCTATCAATACCATTGATTTCCTTGGCACTAATCTACTTGAAATCGAGGATATTTTAAAAATTTACTGTAAAGGTTAGTAATTTGTTATAGTTTACGTATTTTTTGTAAATATTTGTTCCAGTCAACATAATGTATATCGTTTCCTGTAAGTTAAAATAATTGGTAACTGTAGTGTTTAAATGGTTACCAAGTATCACGAAATAAAGTAGTCGCATGATGTTAGAAGTTGCAAGAAAATTATTCAGCATGGAATATTTACACAGAATGATTCGTCCTTTAAGGTTTAAAGATTTTCTGCTTCATTGCCATTATATTTTGAGTAAATGTGTTTATTTGTTATAGATGTTCAAGCCACATCAGGCCTAAACTGATTTCGTAACTCTTGTTTTGAATGATTCTGTTCTCTTGGATATTAATTGAAAAAGGAACCAATGAGTGCAGAACATCACATAAAAGTAGACTATTCCTGTTTCGCAAGCACTCACCAGTGGCTGAGCGGCAGAATAGCTCTGGTAATTTAATCTGGGTTTGAACTGTGGCGAACAGGCTAGCTAGCTGCATGATTGTTTTCGCGGTTTTCTCAATGTCCAACATGGATCAGAAATTTTCCCTTAAGAATGCCTCCATGACGGCTTTCCTCCCCGTACGCACATCGCATTCGATTTGCTTTGCCTTAATTAACTTAATCTGTTTTTCAAACTTACAATTCCGTTTTACACAGAAATCAATTTCAAGCTTATCTTTCCTTAAAGTTCTGCTTTATCGGAACTTAATAATTCGGCTCAAAATTTGGTCAAATTGTTTTGTTATATTCGCCCAAAAATTTGAATGATAAGTGTGTGTGTTGTGTTCCTGATAAAATTGGGCTTTCTGCTTTTTTCGATAGCTTTGTGTGTAAAATATATAAAACTAGACTACACTGACTATGTGATTAAACTAGAATTGCAAGTATGGTTTTTCACTTATTGGGATACACACTTATCAACGTACACTAAGCACGTTAGTGTAAAAATTTCGAAGTTAATGGAGTATTTAACAAAACTCTTTAATTTAAATGGTCATCTAGTAGTAAATTCTTAGTAAGAGACAGAGTGTGGAATTTTAGCTTTTTAAATGTAACATTACTATGAATTTCTCCTTGCCTTTCATGAAACGTTTCTTGTCAAAGCTAGTAGTTATCTTTCATCTCTTCCGTAATTATTCAAATCAGTTGAGTTTGAAGGACTGAAAAATTGCTTTTCTGCATTCGCTCACATGCTTCACCATATCTTCCGACCGCCGAATTCGTTCATTTACTTCACATTTCCTCTCGTTTTCTACTAACAAAGCAATATTACTGAAAGGGAGAAATTCTGCTACGGATCTCGCTGTTTGTCAAAAATAAGGTTTTATTTTCAGTCGGCTATATCCAGAAAATTTCTACAACTTGGCAAGTTTTTGAGTTAAAAACCAAAAATAACATTCCGAAGAAAACTGTTTTAATGCAAAAGGCTTCTTCGCTAGAAAATGAATTGTTTCAACTCACTTCTGGTTTATGCAGCTGGCGCAGCAACGGTCCACCGATTAAATCATTGAACACCGGTAGTTCCGACTTGGATTCGATTAAATGTGAATGGGCTGGCTGCTTAGACGTTTTCGTGCTTTTCCCCATGTGTAAGGAATTAGATCAGCCAATTTTTATGTCCTCCATGAAGGCATTCCTCAGCTTAGGTAGATAGACGTAGTATGCTTTGCAATTATCAACTAAACCATAAACTTCATGAAAAGCCCACCATAGGGCGAGCAGCGAAGTAACTGAATAATGGCATTTGCACCTGGGTTTGTTTGCAGACGAGAGGGTTGGTATGAATCATGGATAAGAGCAGTTTTCTGTAGCAAAGCCCTCCAGAAAGGCAGGTAACCCTTGCGTACTTTGTCATAATCAAATCAATTCACTCTAGGCACATGATGCATTTCATTCAGTTTAACAGGGAAGTTGCAACGCACTAATATTTGTCGAATGTGATCTTGATCTATTCCAGAATTGGATAAAGTACTTAAGTGGCATAAATGCTACTACACTGGTTTTGAAACTGTAAACATGCAATGCAAATTAGCAATTTTCGTAATCGTAATTTAATTTGAGAGGTTGAAAACCGCCAGGGATGCAGATGGCAATGTGCAAATATCTACCAACCAATTTTTGGGATGTCCTTAAGGTGTCCTACATCTGCGATGTTTGATTTGATTGTGAAAGCATCTGCAATCTCTTAAGTTTGTGAGAAGGTAAGTGATGGTCACTTATCTTGATGCAAGTTTTGTTCGCTTGCTTTTAGGTTTAAACATCAATTTATTAATCACCCTAATGGGACGTCATTATATAATTTAAGAAAATTAAATAGTGTTTTAATCTTTGTGGATAATGCTTATTTTCTTTCATACATAAACATATTTGCTACCTGCATGTGCAATGTGGTGTTAATCAAAGCTTATTCATTTTTGTTTGTTTTCCGGTGGCGTGCTTAACTTTTGGAAGCTAGTGCATATTTTATCAACGTCTATTTCAAATGAGTAGAAAAGGGATTAACTTTCTGGCAAGCGATATTCTTTAATGTGTTTAAATTAAGTTTAACAGAAATAAGTTTTTTACATTCAAATTTCTTTTAATTTTGTAATGAAAAAGGAAATTTTTAACCTACGCGAAAATGGCATAAATCCATAAGTAATAGATTTAGTGGCAAGAGACATGGGATGTTTATTTAAGCATGTAGAAAATAATTTTCATTAAATTTTGCACCAAATATCTTTACAGGAATAAATATTTCAGCTACAATCTATCTTCGTTATAATAACGCAGGAAATCCAATATTCGGATCTTCAAATAATCTTGATAGGCTGTAGATCCACTATAGACCCAATTTATCTAATTAGCTCTACCGTTATTGTTTGTGAAGGTAAGAAAAATTACCGTTTGTTACGAGAAGATATCGTGCCTGAGAAGATTTTGAACTTCGAAATTGTTTCTTACTCGATTATGTCTATAATTCACTGGCTGCAAATATGAGTATACTAAAGTTCAGCTTTTTTTTTTGCATGAACCTAATAAAAAAATCCAAGTTCAGAATTTCTTCCACGCATGGTGATGAAGTAACTCATCTTTAACTTCATATTTTCCGTTTTTAAATTCTTTCCATGCCCAGGTAATTTTTTAAGCCATTGTATACGCCAGCTTGACATTTCCAGCGAGAAAACGATTTCCTCATCAGCTCATTATGACTGTAGTAAAATGTTTTGAAATATAAATATCTGTTAATCAAGAGTTAAAAATACACCAATGTAAAATCTGAAATTGGGCCCCCAAAAAAAGCTTTATTCACAACCTACGCCAAAATAATGTGCTTTTTTGACTATTTTCAGATCTATTAGGTTGTTTATCTCAATAAACAAAGAAATGACACTTCAAAACAGTTTATTAACATTACTTTAAAAATAAGAATGTGTTAAATAAAAACACATCTGATATGGCGCATGTATCTTTTTTTGCAGAAAATTATTTCGAGCGTGTTGTGTAACAGAAAAAAATCCCTATATTGTAATTTGAGCGTAGAATCGGTAGTTTTGATTATGGGGAGGAGTTGTTGTGTGTAGGAATGAAACCCCATCCCCAGAGCTGGCAACTCATAAAGTCCATATGTTTGAAGCGGGTAGTATGGGGGAGATTAGCTGCCTTCATAGTGACTAGAATCATTGTCTATACAGTCAACCGTTCCAACTCGGCAAGGATTGTAAGGGTAATATCAACTGTCTCGGGCTGCGTCATCGCTACATATTGAATAAATTAAAATATTGGACTTTTGGGATTTCAGCCTCCCAGGACGCCTGTGTTAGTACAGAAACTGTATATGGACTACTCGTCTAGGTATCTCTGGAGCACAGTAGAAATGGAGTTTTTGTTATTGCATATAATTCTAAAAATGTTAATATATTGGCAATATATTGGCATCGAAACGAGATAAGACGGGTATTTTTACTTTGACACCATAATTTTCTTATCATTTTTGTGGATTCCCTTGTTTTAATTTTGCTGGAGCTTTCAGACATCTGTTAAATGAATAACCAAAACTGCAATGTAAAAACAGAAATCCTTGGAAAAACATGTATGGCATATAATTACTGCTTCGGAGGTGAACCTATTTTTCAATGAAAATTTGATGCACCCGTTAGCTCAGCCTATGGTGAATGGGAACTAGCTCCCTATTGAAAACTGCTTTAATTAAATCCATAATTGATTTTCATAAAGCAAATCTTTCGTGCCTAATAGTGATAGAATTTAATATTATATGACGCTGTCGCCCCTTGAAATGTAGGTCGGAAAAGAATGTGCAGGTTCAGGAAATGTTCACTGGAAGTCCTCATAATTCGGATATCTATAGAAATTAGTTTAACTCTATGCAGTCCGAGCTATTTTGAAAGAAAGAGCTGATTTTTTGTCCACGGAGATGCTGCTGCTTGGGATGGGGACTGCTCCGATCTTTTCAGCAGTATCCCGTACCCAAATGAAGACGCGTTTCATGTCGGGGAGTGTCTTAACATTGGCAAAGTTGGAAGGAATGAATGAGCCAAGTTCTTGCAAACGTTACGTTAAGTAATTGCAGAGACCTGTCGCAAAATTCCCAAATTGTTTGCGAAAACTGATAGTCTTAATGGATAACTGTGGTACTTAATGCAAAATTTTACGATGTATAACAATTCTATTAAGTAAGAAACAAAATGCTTTTTCTATTAGAGTTAAGAGTTTAAAACATAGTAAACGTTTTTCAATAGGGAATTAATTTCTGCCGACCTTGTAGTAATTAATCCATGTTAAATAAATGCTACTATTTAGTTTTCTATAACTAAGAGGAGATGAATATTTAATTATTGGTATCCAGCTAATAAATTGATTTACTTGCAGCAAAAAAATGTCCTTCTCCAGCAACCAGGTTATGTAATCCTTTTACACAGTGGAGTCCGGTTGATGAATGTAAAGATCACGAAGACTGCAGAAGTCCTCTCCTTTGTTGCAGTGATGGATGTATAAACAAATGTGTACCTGGTGTCTGGCGCTCCTAAGCTCATTTCTTCATTGTTATGAAGTTCTTGTTTTTACTTTGTATTTTAAATTTTTAGCCTTTATTTGTTTGACTTGAAATTTTGAAGCAATATATGCCTTAAACGTCATCCTTCTCAGCTGCTAAACTTATTTCACAGTTGTAATCCAACAGTTTTGAAAATAGTCGCTCTACTTGAGATTCAGAAAGAAGTAGTCTGCGTGGCAGAGCTGGTAGTCAATAAACCTCACTGCTGCACAAAAATAAACTTTTAAAAATATACTTAAATTCTGTGAAATTCAAATTTTTGAAAGTATAAATTAATGTGTTAATAATTGGCAAGTATTTTAATCATAATAAGTATTTTAATCATAAATAAACAACGAGTACGTCTGATGCACTCAAAACCAAATTTTGCCGAAATACGCATTAATTAGCAATCACTTAACAACGTAAAAATGTTAAATGAATTTGACTTCTGAAAACTAGTTTTCTGCACAGAATTCAAAGCTGCCGGACTATAATTTGCACTTTTTAATTTTGCATTCTAATAGAAAATTATACTAGTCAGGTGCAAATTATCTGCAACATCCACTAAGAAATTTAACTTTTCATTCCAGCTATGACTGAAATTCGCTTTTGTTGCAAACTATTGAGCGGCGAACGAGATCTAACACTGGCTGGAATGCAAAAAACCATTTCCACATTTCAAATTATTACCACTATTTCTAATTTTGAGCTAGAATTGAGTAGAAAATGACAGAAAAATCTAACTGCCTGGACACCATTCACTGCCATAACTTGTGGCGTTTCAATTCACTTGATTAAATTCTGCTTCATAAACATTTACAGAAATTAATGTTAACATACCAGTAACGGGAAAGTTTCAAAAGCTAATGATCCTTTGTCTGCTGCTTTACTTTGATGTGCATATGATTTAATTTTAAATGTAGAAGGTAAATTTTCTGCACAAACATTAACCCTTAAATGCACGATTTTTTTATTTTTAAAGTAGAATATACATCCGAGTTGATATCGAATAAAATGGAAATACAAAATGCAAACTTAAGTTTTTATTCCAATTTTTGAAAAATATTCACTTTTACAAATTAACTTTTACAAAACATATCCTAGGCAAATGTGTAATAACAATTTTATCTAATAACACACCTTATAAACTTGTTCAAATTTGAATACATCAAAATAACAAACACAAAATCAAAAATTCGTTCTACACCCTACACATCAACTCGCAATAATGAATAATAAAAAGTAGTCTCACCACACTGGTGAAACTTTCAAAACTATATACGTGAACAGTATGTATCCAATTGGTTGCACTATGGATTAAGCTAAAATTTGTTTTGATTCGATTTACTTGCCTGAATACGAGTATGTTGCCAAATGACAACTGCATGCCCTTAAGGGTTAAGTTTCTTTTCAACATTTCTGTTGATTTTCGTTCTGTTTAAACGTATGTTAGGAATCGAGTATAAACCTCAAATTTCTACGAAGAAGAGACTTGCGTGGGATACATTTAGCTATCTGGAATCAACAAGACCAGCCGTGAGAAGACCTCCTTCGACGAAATACACAAAGGTGTTAAACTCCGTGGGATCGCCCTGTTCTTAACAAGCTTTCAAAATGATTTCGGACTTTCGCATGATCTCATCACCTTGAGAACTAATGGCTCTTCCACCGAATTGCAAATGCTTCTGTATACAATTTTGGGCAAATATTTGTATGTTGTTAATGATGGAAAAGTTAACTTGTTAGCAGAAATTAATGTTAACATACCAGTAACGGGAAAGTTTCAAAAGCTAATGATCCTTTTTACTAATTTAAAAAAAGTAATATGCTTATGGGATTTCGAGGTTATTTCATTTTTCAGTTAAGATATATTAACTATTAAGATATTATTTTTCAGCTATATACCCTGAGTTTAAAATGAGCAACTATTATGCCTCTAGTCTAAGAATTTCATTTAAAAAATGTTCCATTAGTGAATCTCAAACTTTTTGAATTTATTTTTAAGAAAACAGAATTTTATTATTTTTAGCGTAGGCCATTTCACCTGCATCTTCTATTTTGAAAAAGAAAAAGGAAAATAGTTTATTCATAATGCCGAGCGCAGTGTATATTAGAGTAGACAAAAATGTATTTTATTTAGTTTTAATATTTGGAACATAAAATAAATGTAGCAAATACACTAAAATAATAGTAAATACATTATCAAGGATATCGAAATAAGTACATGATTATTCACGCTTAGTTACTAAGAAATTGAAGTGTAAAGTGCGTTATATTTTTGCGATATTTCTACATTTTAAAGGTACCTTGACTCGGTAAGATAATTATTTCTTACACATAACAAACATTTTGTTAAAATAAGTTGTCAAAATATAAATAAGATGCGATTTGTGTGGAAATGCCACTTAACTTACAAACTATTGCCTATCCAGCAACGAATATCTGTTTGCGTGGGAGTGTGCCTGCTTTACGATTTGTGCGGAAGTATCGCTAAATCGCTGTCAAGGTAGCGTGCTGTGGATTTAAATAAATCTGGCAAACACTTTTAGCCTATCAAGGTTCGGCAGCACTGCGTCAATCGTGGTGGAAAGGAGTCGCATTCTTATTCATTCTTCTTTGATAAAACCGCTGAATACCAGTAGATCAAACTGGAACGCCTTGGGACCAAAATTTGGAAGAATGACTGGCTGTATGAAGGTTTTCATAGATACCGCATATGTAACGAGAATGTTTCCCTCTCGTAACTTGAATGTGAGTAAGTTCAAAGTCCTCTTAAGCAGATAACCGATGGAAGCATGGGAAGCGTGAGAATAGGAAGAAGTGTCGTAGGCAAGAAATCAAAGTCGTGTCCTCTGAAGATCCATATGACTAATATAGTAAATAATTGGAGTTCATCCTTGGCTTCACATTTAATACTGATTCGCTGGCGTAGGTAGATCTTTTGTGTCCTGGAGCAATCCCTGAATATGCCGTCCCTCTCTATACGTAAGCAAATAGCCAAAATATTGCAAAAATGGCAAAGAAACAAAGCTATGTTCTTGGAGTAAAACTTTAATTCCAACATATTTAAATTGTGTTTTTCTGTTCATAAAACCATTGACATTGTACAGTTACATTTCATTGCTCCAGTTGCTGCTGTGGAGACAATACAGGAAGATTTATTAAATGCAAAGCCTACGAAGTCTTCAGAATTTCTTAAAGGAATTTTGATTTAGAACATTTTTTCATAACCAGCGCCACTCTGAGTTAAATTCGCATATATATTACAGTATTTGGGACTGCTCAGGAGATTATTTTATGTAAAACAGCAAAAATTGCAAAGAGCCTTTCAGTGTGCGTTTCACTTTCTCTAGCAGTAACAAAAACTATCAGTAACGAAATATTTCTCTTAACGATGAAGACTTCTTTATTAATGCGTTCTTGTGATTATAACTTGGTTTATATTCTTTAGAGTGGTTAAGACTGCTGAATGTTGCGAATTCGATGCGGGGACATATAAGCACTCTGTACCACACCTCCCACATACGGAAAAATCCCTCCTTGTGATTGGATATGGCTTCAGATGATATTTCCTCTACGCTTGGGAACACCTTGCCTTCTGCTCAAGGGTGCACCTCCATACCATTTGTTTACATTTTGATAGCAGTACCGAAAATATTACGTTTGTTGTATTTTTGTTTCTATGCGATTACACTTCTTGCAACACTGTCGTGTGGTGAATTTAATATAAAAAATGCAGTGTTTTTCACCTAGAGAAAAAGTATTTCTTGTGATATCTTCATTAATGTGTATTAAGTGCAGACATTTTTAATAAATGTACTAATTTAAAACCCTTCATATTAAAGGTGTCATTATTAATTCATTATTTTATGTTCATTTTACATCGGTTCTCTCTACACATGCAATCCCCGAAAGCATGAGACAAACTAGTTTTCCTCAATACCAAAAGCGACGTTGACGAGCTAACACAGCACACAGTAATATTCACAATATTTATAATCGGTTTGAAAAAATAAAATTTATTTTTGAATTTGGACTAAAATAGATTTGGAATAGAGAAAGAGATGCGCATTTTAAATTGAATAATATTAGTTTATGAATATTGCCCATTTATAATGCGTAACATCTTTTGTACCTTTGCATAAAAAGTGTTTGTCAGAGAAAGAAGTTTCTTTACTTATAACAAGTGAATTAAATTCAGCGACAATACTGAATGCACTTTTTCTTTCATTTAAGGCAACAATGTTGTTATAGCTTGGAACTAATAACAAAGAACTTGGAACATTTGCAAAGAAAAATTTTCTGCAATGTGAAAGAATCTGAATGCAACAATAATATACTTACTAGCACACAACGCCTTTACGGTTGTATCGAGATCGTCGTGTTTTGGTTTTTGCATTAAAGTCATGAATCGGCCATTTATATAATTTAAGAGCTTAAGATTGCTTCCGATATTGACAGCATCTTTGAAATATTCCGTAATTTTATTATTCCATGAAATGGTAAGCCATCTGCAGAACGCTGCAGCCAAATTTTTTTCTTTCAAAGAAAGCTGACTACAATTCCATGTCACCAATATGCGTCATTAAACGAAAACAAAACGAAGAATCCCGCCTAAATGTTACGCCAAGAGAAAATGATGTCATCTGGGAGTATGTCCAATCACAAGTACGTGAATACCAGTCAGTTTCTCTTAGAAAGTCCTTCACTAAAACATCTCGACTCTTTTGGGGGTAGCCCTGTTAAGCTTAGAAGGTGTAACAGAAGCATGTAGCTGCTGAAATCTCGCCTTGCTCTGTACTTTATCTAATGCGAAAATCAATTTTCTTAATTTAATTCTATGCAGAGTTTGCACCAGATTGCAGAATTTAGCAACCGCAAAAATTTAGAATTAAATGAAGCGTCGAGCAACGAAACTTACGGATAACGCATTTTTTAAAATTTAGTGCATGCACTGGCCGGTGGAATTTAGGGGCGGCAAAATTTTTAAATTTATCGAAGCAACCTGGCAACAGAATTTATGGAAGTATCTGCAAAGAATTCATCGGGTAGCAAAATGCACAGCTCCGGTCTTGATTCTATAGAGCAATTCAGAATAAC